ACTAAATTAGCCTATTCCCAAACGAGGTCTCAGTTGTTTTGCTTTCTCACTACCAAAAAAAAAAAAAAAAAGTCATCAATAGAGGGCCATTTTTAGATTTTGTTTAGATAATAAATTTTGATAATTTTTTTTTTAAAAAAAAATATGTGAAATATATGTGAAATGTAATTATATTTCACTTACTTTTTTTTAAAATTTTATTTTATTTATTTTTAATTTTATTTTTTATAATTAGATGTCAGAATCACAGATCTCAACTAATCCCGAATTTTCCACTTGTGAAGGCCACTTGCAGTCAGAGTAAATGCGAATCTATACTTACTTAAATCTATACTTCAAATACGTCTTTATAAATATGAAAAATGATGAGAAAGACAAATCAAAAGAAAACACAATTAACAATTGAGGCATGGCTAATCCAATAAGAAGAAATGAGGGGTCATGCTCATGAAAAACAATCAGTGAATTGATACGGAGAAACTAACCCACTAGGAAAAAATCACTCATGGGTACAACATTATTGTTGTTTTGTTTTCCTCTAGAAGTGACAGTTCCATGACTGACCCGGAGTTGTACACTGACATCAAATTTTGAATTTTTGACCACTTACTTGCATCACGTGTCTCCTTGTGAACAAATTATCTAGGAGGGTTATGGGGGCAATGGGATAGATATTAATTTTTTATTCTTATTTTTCTATAATAAATTTTTTTTATTTTCCATTTTCTATTTTTTATGGGTACCACCCTTCTTAATTTTTAATGGGTATAGATTTTTTTCAACCCACTTTCATCTCTATTTTATTTTTTATATTTAATGTTAACAACTATTTTTTTTTTATTTTTTTTAAGGTTCACAATAAAAACTAAATATACCTTCAATCTTTTTTCTTTCTTTTTTAATATATTTAATGTTAATAACTTTTTTTTTGTTAAGGTTAACAACAAAAGTTAAATATACCTTCAATCTTTTTTCTTTCTTTTTTAATATATTTAATGTTAACAACCTTCTTCTTCTTTTTTTATTTTTTATTATTTTTTATTTTTTTTATAAAGGTTTTAGCTAAATATACCTTCAATCTTTTTTCTTTTTTTTTTAATATATTTAATGTTAACAACTTATTTTTTTATTTATTTTTTATTTTTTTAAGGTTCACAACAAAAGCTAAATATACATTCAATCTTATTTTATTTTATTTGGTTCAACAACAAAATCAAATACACATTAATTAATTAATTAAAAAGTTTGTTTTATAATAATCAAATATATAATTTTGAGACAATCAAATAAGTTTTAGTAATTGAAAAAAAAAATGTGGAAGAACGTGGAAGATTAAAAAAAAATTACAACCATCTCTCTCTCTCACTCTCTCTCTCCCCTACATGTTACAAGAACCTGATTACAATGTTATAAGAGCCTGTTTGAAGAAATAAAATGTGAAAGAACCTGTTTGAAGAAAGTATTATAAGACCCATATTAAATTGCATCAGGGCATAAACAAGGAATTGTTTGTTGATCTCTTAGCCACGGATATTTTAGACATTAAACCATCTTTCTCTTAGCAAATTTGAACCATTCATTTTAATTTATCCAAAATCTAATTATACCTTTAACAAATCTGAACCACTCATTTTAAGATATCTATGCATTACTCGGCTGCGAGCCTTGCCTCCGGACTTCCGGGCTCTTTCGTGTCTTGCCTCAGTTTGAGAACCAAGCTCTGTTTTCTCTTCCCGAAGGGAGAGAGAGGTCTCATAGATCATCTCTCAGTGGCCGTATGCTACATTTCGTGGTCGAAGACCACTGTTCCCGTTTGGATACCAGTTTCTGATTTTCGGAGCCGTCGGCCGTGCGCCTCAGTTCGGGACCGCTTAACTTTCTCTGTTTGCTCCGGTTTTTTGGCACACACCTTGTTTCCTCTCCCTAGAGGGAAACTGTGGCCCGGGAGACCACCTTCATGGTCGCGCGCCGATCTCGATGCTTAACAGTCAGTTTTCAGGACACCTGGCTACGCGTTTTGGCCCCCGAACCCTCGTTTTGCATCCGTCTTGGTTCATTTTTGGCATGGACCCTATTTTTATTGTTTGGAAGGTGGTACT